AAATTATGATTTTTCTGGATTATTCAATCTAAATGTTATTCAAAATAATAAAAATCTAACATTAAAATGAAATATTATTTAAATGTTTCAATAACTAAATATCTTAAATAACAAAATATTAAAATTAATATTTTAAATCGATTAATAATATATTTTAATTAGTCACTGAATTACTTTCAATTATAATAAATATGTTAAGATTTTAAATATTTAGTTAAATGACTAAATATTTTAAATAGCGAAATATTTAACATAACTATATTTTAAATAGTTAAAATAATGAATTATGTATTAATAGTACTATACTTTTATGGATTATTAAATTTAACAAGTAGTTAATATTTTAAAATTTAAATAATTATATTAGTTCAATAAATAAATAATATTGTAAATAGCTAATTTCATTTATACCGATTAATAATTCTAGAAATTAACATTCAAAAAATTATTGTTTATTAATAGTAATTTTAAAAACTTTATCTTTATTTATTATATATTTATCTATATTGAAATTAATATTTATTGTATTTCAGTAATTATTTATTGATTTTTGTGATAAATGTATTTTTAGTAAGTGTATAAATCTATTTTTGTTTATTATTTAATAGAGAATTTTTAATAATTATTGGACCATAAACTACTATTACTTAGCTTTTTAAATTTAATTTATTTTATATTTTTGCTATAAAATTTTAATTATTATTGGAGATTAAACTATTGTTCATGGGTTGGTTTGGTTTAGTTGTAAGTTGTTTGGCCATCCAAATGGACTTGGTCAGGTTGGGGGGTTGGTCACTCAGGTTATATCGGTTTATGTCAATTTTCGGTGTAGTCAGTCAGTTCAAAAGGTTTAAATTTAAAATTAAGTTTAAATTAAAAAATTACAATGACACTATTAAAAAATAAGTTTAAAACTTCAATTTCTGATATAAATTATTTTAGCCTAATAAATATTGAAAAATTTCCACTTTCCTATATCAAAAAATATATTTAAAATATAAAATATTAGTATATATCTATGGTCAGGTCATTCGATTTTAATCAATTTACAAATGGCCAAAGTGAAACTGGTCCAACCTAGTCAGGTTGGGAAATTATTGAACCAAAGCCGACTGGAAATACTAAAAATCGGGTTGGTCAGTATCATCAGTTTGATTCGGAATGGCAATGGGGCAGGACGGGGATGAGGAGCCTCTCTCCATCCTTGTCCCCGCGAAAATCCCCATCCACGTCCCCGTCCCCATCCCTACTAACGAGGACAAAGTTATCCTCATCCTGATCTCCACAAGGGATCCCCTCTCCCTGTGATTCTTTATAATGTCAACCATTATGTTTTTGTTTTTTTATTAAAATAATTAAAATTTACAATCCTATTAGAAAAGATTCAAACATATTCAACCATATTTTTAAAAGTATTAACATATAGACATATGTGTATATATATACATATATATTAGCAGGGATCTCATGGGGCAAGGAGTGTTGTCCTCGTCTCCACACCGTCCCTGCCAACGGGGATAAAAATTTTCCCATCTCAATCTCCACAAGGGAAAAATCATCCCCGTCTCCGCCCCATTCGGAGCAGATTGCCATGGGGATATGGGAAAATGGAAAAAGTTGCCATCCCTAAGTTTGATAAATATCCTTATCTAAAATTAAGTATTATTATTTTTATATTATAAAAAATTATTAAAATAGTATATAAAGTATAAATGATTATTAATTATTATATAAAACAATTGTATATTCTTACATGTTTCTATTGTTTATATTTAACTTAACAAATTTGATGCATCACACAGGTCCCGCTCGTATTCTTAAAAAAAAAAGGAATAATATGAAGGTGTCTATGGGTCGAAACCTTTTGCTCGTGCTGCTATGCATCAAAAAGTTAAGAATCACTTCTCCCTTTGAAAAGTCATGCACTAAATCATGAAGATCAATGCTCGAAACGAAGATCATAAGATCTAAAGGAATATCTTTGACAATGTTGTTCAAAAACTATTTGTGAATATATAGCTGGCATATGTAAAATGTTTGTATATGGTTAGTTTGATACTTTGATATATGCAAAGGCGGATGTACTTTGTATATATTTAGTACGGAGAAGTACGGACATGCCTATTGAAGATTTTTGAATTTTAATGCAGATCTATAAACATTTTAAAATGTCAAATACCCTATTCTATACATCAATACCCACCTATGAATTAGCATCAATTTCAAATTGATATTTACTCCAACTGTACTTTGGGTTTAAGAATTCTGACCCTTGGCTGAACCTTCATTCTCCTTATTTAGAATTATTTTCTTTTTTATAAAACAAGATAGGGTTACACGAGACGGGGGATAACACATCTCTCAATGATATAGTGAGAGCTCGTTGATCAAGTTGTCACAAATTATAGAGTAAAGTTTAGTAGCCCAATAGAGTTATGTTCCTTAACTTTCAAGATTTCTCTCCTTACTAAATCTTTACTTCTTTACACTATTTTCAAAATCGGATCAGATCAGATGGTTAGACCGGAAAAACCGAAAATCGGTCATCTGACCAATTTCATTTTAATCTAAAACTGCTTTTTCCCTCAAAATCGTTGATTTTGGTCAGTAAACTGCTGACCGGTTCGATCATCGATTCGTTTTTAAAAACCATGCTTATTTAATGTAGGGATTTAAAGTATTAGGAGACAAAACATTGTTTCATATGAAAGACGAAAAATCTCTGTAAGAGAGACACGGGTGAAGGCAAGTTAGGAGAACTTAAGTACTTTGTTTGGAATCCAATATGTTAAAAATCTCCATTGCTTAGCATTCTGTCTGGAAAATACCAGAGTACAAGTCTGATTAATTAGAGTATAATGAAAAGATAAAAAACACTATGCAAAGAACCTGACTGTAAATCTCAACAAACAACTTGGTTAAAAGAAGAAATGGTCATTAATAGACTTTGTAATGTGTGCCATACTGTGCTGGCATGACACGGATTGAAGGTGGCTCAGATGCCATCTATGCCATGCCGGGCCCCGGGCCTTGGTGGTCCGTTCTTAGACAGCCCGGTCCCCTTTTTAGCTAAGCTAAGCCTGGAACGGCCCATGGTCTGGTTCCCAGCCGAGCCAGGCCAAGCCATGGTGGGGCAGGCCCAAGCCAAGCTTCTTTTTTTTTTCTTTTATAATTTTCCCAAACTAGTAAAAATTAGAAAAAAAAAACAAAAGAACAAATAATATATGAAAATTAACATGGATAATAGATAATTTGAAAAAAAAAATGTGAAATTTTTATTTCGTTTCAAATTTAATGTGTACAAAAAAATAAAGATTACATTAAAAAATAATACAATGGAGTTGAATTAATAAAATGATAAAATTGAAGATAAAAATTACAGTGAGATTGGATTATTGGAAAATATTACAAATAATTCTTAAATAAAATTAAAAATATTACAAATAATTCTCAAACCCGGGCCATGCCAAGCCGGCCCGCATGTTGTGTTATATTGTGCCTATGGATCATGATTTGGAAGCATGGTCCCCTCCGTAGTGTAGGCCTAGTACAACTTGGATTCTAGCCCTAGCATGACACAGAATTGTAGCGACCGTGCTTTGGTTGGCCCTTGTCTGCTAGGCCGTGCTGGCCTGTCACTAGCCCGACCCACATTACAATTTTAGTCATTAAGAGAAGAAAAAGCATTCACAAATATGGAGGAATTGGAAACATGGTAAATGCTTTTAATGAAGAGAAGAAGGGTTCAAAACAATGAACCCAGATTTACTACCCACTCTCTACCTGCCATGAATTGCAGAGACACATCTCTCGATTCATGATAGAGATGTATGACTGCAATTTGCGGCAGGTAGAGAGGGAGTGGATAGGAAATCCCGTTTGATATTATAATGTTCATTCCCAAATAACCAATCCTTCCATAGTTTTAACTCCTTTATTTTCTTTCCTACATAAGCACTGTTTTTTTATCCCACTACCATATTGTTTTGGAGTTCAAATCTGTGTCCCACCGCCTCTCCCCCCACAAACGCTCCACACACCGAGCGTCCGCCACCTGTCCATTCGCATTCCTGCGTGCGAGGCTAATGGGATAACTGTTAGGCCCAAAACTAGCCCAAAAGCCTCATTTCTACATTCCCGCCCCCTCAACCGATCCGTCTGCTTGAATTGGCTGTCCCCTGAACCCCATTCTTCTCCCCTCCACCCGAGCTCTCCTTCTCCGGCACCGACGACCGCTCTGGTGAGTTCACCTTGACCAAGTATTCTCCAACACTCATATTTTGTTTTTTCATTTCAAATCAGCTAAACCTCTGTCCTCTGATATTTTGTTTTCTCATTTCAGATTAGAGAAACCACCGGCCATCTACAACGACCACCGGCGATCATCCGACCATTTCACTGTCATAGGTACTCTCCATCTCTCATATCATCACTCTTTCACACACTTTTCTTATTTTTTCTGATATTTTGTTTTTTTTTTTATATATTTCAAATCAGAGAAAACACTGACAACAATGCTTTTTTCTCTAGCACCGGCGATCATCCGACCATTTCACTATCACCGGCGATCTTCCAATGAAGTAACAAATAACAAAATATTCTTCTGATAATTTTAGTCTGATGAGGATTTTTCACAATATTACTAGAACTCAAGAGGATGCTTGTTACTAAAAAAGTCGATTACTAGAGGCAATGACATTCATTATCAGAAAAGTCGATTCAAATAGGGATGCTTGTTACCCATATGGCCAGATACAAAGATGAGGCACATGGATCAAATGTTCATGCATGTTAATAAAATACACAGTTCCATCCACTACAGGACAGAAATCTGCAGATATCTAAATGAGATAGCTTGTTATAAACTACAAAGGATCTCCATTTTTTGAAGGATGGTTAGAGAATCCAACCAAAAAAACCTCAAACAACACAAAAAAAAAGAAGATAAAAAGATTGGCTTTTATAAATGAGCAGATACAACACACTGTAAGCAACAATACTAGAGTGAAAGCAATAAGAGAAGGATTTCATTCAATGAAAAAAGAAGCTAAATCCCAGCTCAGCCTTCGAATCGGAATAAAAGAACGGAAAAAAGGAGAAAAATAAAACCTCCATTTCCTTCTTCCGCGTTCAAATACAGAATAAAACCTAAATTGAGGAGGTTTAAAACAAATTCCACGCAATAGAGTGACGATTGAAAGATGACAAATGCCGTCCATTCTAAACAAAAAGATAACCAATGTTAATCCTTCTTTTGCGTTTCTTGCCAATAACCATGTTGAAAGTTGAAACACAATGATTGTTTTCTTGTCCACAGATGACTGGGTGAATCCAATATAGGTAAGACTTAAGAGAAAGAATGGTCGGATGATCACCCGGTGCCAGAGAAAAAGCACTGTTGCTGGTGTTTTCTATGATTTGAAATAAAAAAAAAAAACAAAATATCAGAAAAAAATAAGAAAAAATAAGAAAAATGTGTGAAAGAGTGATGATGTGAGAGATGGAGTACCTGTGATAGTGAAATGGCCGGATGATCGCTGGTGGTCGTTGTAGATGGCTGGTGTTTTTTTTTTTATCTAAAATGAGAAACAAAATATCAGATAACAGGGTTTAGCTGATTTTAAATGAAAAAACAAAATAGCAAAACAAAATATCGGTGTTGGAGAATACCTGGTCAAGGTGAACTCACTGGAGCGGTCGCCGGTGCCGAAAAAGGAGAGCTCGAGTGGAAGGGAGAAGATTGGGGTCATGGGACGGTTAGTTCAAACACGAATGATCGGCTGAGGGGGGCGGCAAAAAAGAAATGAGGATTTTGGGGCTAACGGGACAAGCTAATGGCCGTACCATTAGCCCTGCACGCGGGAATGCCCACGTGCGAATGGACAGTTGGTGAACGCTCGGTATGTGGGGTTTTTGTGGGGCGAGAGGCGATGGGGTGCAGATTTGAACTCCTATGTTTAGGGTTTGGTTTCAACTAGCCTCTACCAGTCCCGTCCCAATAAAATTTTATTTATTTGTTTGTTTTATTAAATTATGTCTCCCTCTCCCTCTTTCTCTCCCCCAACCCTGTATTTAGAGTTGTCAATGGGACGTGATAGACTTTACCAATCCCGTCCCAATAAACATCTATTTATTTATTAAATTATTTCTCCAACTCTCTCTCCTGAACCCAATATTTAGGGATGTCAACGGGTCTGGTCTAGTTCAGGATAGTCAGTACCATCTCATCCCAATAAACTTTTATGTATTAATTTATTTATTTTATTAAATGAAATAAATTAGTGTCTATAATTTTTTATTTATTTAATTTACTAAATTATTTATTTATTTATTTAGAAATAAATTCCTAAGCCCAATATTTAGGGTTGTCAATGGGTTAGATTTGGTTCAAGATAGCCTTTACCATTCCACCCTAAATAATTTTTATTTATTCATTTATCTATTTTATTAAAAATAAATAAAGTATTATCTATAAACTTTTATTTATTTAATTTACTAAATTGTTTATTTATTCTTAATTCTCTCTCTCACTCTCTCTTTCTCTCCTGCAACCCTATATTTAAGGTTATTAACAGGTCGAATTGGGTTCGGGATAGCTTGTATCATTCCCATCCCAATAATAAATAAAGTTTATTTATTTGTTTTACTAAATTAAATAAATCAGCTACCACATGTTATTCTTCAGATCCATAATTGATATAGTAGTTTTCAACTAGAAACTCAAAAATATATATGGTTTTTCTACTTCATGCTTCCTAAAATGTCTAATTGCATATTCATTACTATACCACTATTACGGTGCCATTTATTGATTATTTTATGATTTTCTCAAAAACTTTCTATTGTTATTATTGATTTTTATTTGTACATAATAAAAATGAAAATCAAGAGAACATTGTCTCATAATTTATATGTGGCAAGCTTGGTAGTTACTTAATGTTGAGAATTTCTAATATAATGTTTTGCTATAATTTCCCCAAGAAAGAGGGTGATGGTGGACATTTGTTAGGAATGCCAATAGGGAGGGGAGTTGATGGGAAGCCACTCCCTATTCACGTCCTTGCAAAAATCCGTATCCCCGTTTTGTGATTGCTAGCAAGGACAAGGTTATCCCATCCCACGGAGATCCTCACTCTCCATGCTTTTTCTATGACGTCAATCATTTGGTATTTTGTTTTTTGTTTTTCATTTCACATAAAAATCTTAAAATAAAAAGTTAAAATTTGCAGTATCCCATTAAAAAAGATCTAAATATATTCAACCACATTTTCAAAAATATTAATATACATACATACATATATAAGCAGGGATCCCCCCGAAGCGAGAATTGGGGGCCTGTGGGTATTCTCTCCACCCTCGCCAACGGGATGAAAATTTCATTATCCTTGTCCCTATGAGGGGAAAATCATCCCCTTACCCTCCCCATTTTTGGGTGGGACACCACAAGGATTGAGGAAATGGAGAAAATTGCCACTCCTAATAATCGTTACTATATTGTTAATTTCCTAAAAAACAACGCTTTTATTTTTTTCATTTTATATAATAGTTCCCTTTTTGTATACGAATATCTTTTTGTTAAGCAAGGTTGGGGTTATAGTGCTGTCATTACAGATTTTTTATCAATCATTGTGTGCATAATCTTGTTGTACGTGTTTTGTTTTCTTAATATAATTCTTACCTTATCTTATCTTTAAAAAAAAAAAAAAAAAAAAACTCATGGAACCAACCACTAAGGGGTTCAAGAGGGGTCCGTTTAGCTTTAAAGACTCATCCTAACAAGAAATTTGAATGTGGAGTAAATCAAAATTTGAAAATATTTTTTTGAAGAAAATAGAAAAATTATTGATATGCTAAAGTAAGTTCAAAAGGACAAACTATCTAATATGCGACTTGATCTAGAACAAAAAAGAGAGAAAACTCTACAAAAAAGGAAGGTGGAGGATTAATTGGTTACAATGTCGTGATAAAAATACAAAATGTTTTCAATTTTCATATAACTTCACCAAAATAATCTCGTCTCCTAAACTATCTCCTCCACTTTCTCCAAAATTATCTCTAATTCTTATTTATCTCTAAAATTATCTTCAATTCCAATTTATCCTCTCATACGTTTTATCTAAACTAGTAAGAAAAAACTATTTACAATTCATGGAGAGTATTTGAATAGTTCTAAGTGGGCAGTTTCTTAACTATTCTAAGTGGACAGTTTCTTAACTGTTATAAGTGAGCAGTTTTTAGAGTGAGAGTAAATGACATATATGCCCTTTTTTATGCTCGTTGTGTGTTGCTTAGATAAGAGGTAAAAATGTCTAATGAAAAGTCTAGAAAATGGGCTATTTTCTCTTTTATTAGTAGTATAGATTTTGGATTAAAAAATTTAAGAATTATTTAAATATTCTAACAAAATTATATAATATCTTTGAAATATTTATTAAAAACACAAAAAATAATTTTATATTTTTACAAAGTATATCATGAAATTATGTACTAATAATTTAAATTATGTTTTTCCGGATTATCAATTTAAATGTTTTTCAAATATTTAATAATATGCAATAGCTTTAAATAAATAAAATAAAAATAACAAAAAAAATATTTAAATAACTAAATATTTATCATAACTAGATTTTAAATAGTTAAAACAACGAAATTATGTAATAAATTTAAAAAAATTTCTTCAAAGTATAAAAATAGTTATAACATAATATTGAAATTAATAATAATTTAATATATTACAAAAACAATAATGAAATTATGTAATAATAGTATACATTATGATTTTATGGATAATTAAATTCAATAAATAATTAAAAAATTAAATATTTTACATATTGTTTAAGTTTTTAAATAACTAAATATTTTAAATAAAAAAATATTTAACATAACTAGATATTAAATAGTTAAAATAAAGAAATTATATGTAATAAATTAAAAAAAATCTGAAAAGTATAAAAATAATTATAACATAATATTGAAATTAATAATAATTTAATATTTTTACATAATACTGTAAAAAAATAATTTCACTTATATCAAGTAATAATTTGAGAAAATAACTTTCAAAAAAATAATATTTGTTAATAGTAATTTTAAACTCTTAATCTGTATTTATTATATAATTATATATACTAAAATTAATATTTATTGTATTTCAGTAATTATTTATTATTTTTTGTGATGTGTATTTTCAATGATTATGTATAAATTTATTTTATTTTGTTATTTAACAGAAAACTTTCAATAATTATTGGATATTAAACTACTATTATTGAGATTTTTAAATTTAATTTGTTGTACTTATTGTATTTTTTCTATAACTTATTGATTAATATTTATTAGAGATTAAACTATTATTTGAGATTATACTATTTATTGACTAAGTTAATATATTTTTAGTACTTATTGTATTTTTTTCATTATCAATATATTTTCAATAGTTGTGTATTTTCGCTATAAATTTTCAATAATTATTGGAGATTAAACTATTGTTATTTATCAGATATGAGACTATTAATTTAGTTGAAATTATGAGTTTTTGTGAATTGTTTCGATTCGGTTGTGGGCTATTTGGCCAACTAAATTGACCTGGTCAGGTTGGGGAGTTGGTAAGCTAAAACCGACTGACCTTTTATGAAAATCGACCCACTCAAGTTGTATTGATTGGGTCAATTATTTGGTTTGGTCAATTGATTCAAACAAATTTTAATTTAATTTTAAAAATTATAGTGCAATTATTATAAAATAAATTAAAAAATTATATTTATGATATAAAAACATTTTAAACTAAGAAATATGGGAAACTTCCCACATTTTCATATTAAAAATTATATTTAAAATATAAAATATTAATATATATCCATGGTTAAGTCATTCAATTTTGGTTGGTCTACGGATGGCCAAAGTGAAATTGATCCAATTTGGTCGAATTGGAAAATTTTTGAACCAAATCCGATCTAAAATTATAGAAAACCGACCAACTCGGGTCGAGTTGATTGGGTTGGTTGATTTCATCAGTTTGATGAATAAACCTACCTGAAATTAATTATTGTTATTTTTGTATTATAAAAAAATTTATTAAAAGTAGTATATAAAATATGAATAATTATTAATTATTTAAAAATGATATTTTTATTTTTATTTTCTTTTGATTAAATTTATTTAAATGAACATTAGGGTCAACACTGTCATTTTCCATTGCCATCTAATGGAAGATTGATTAAATCCATTGCAAATTATAAGTGGTGTTTTATTAAAATGTTAACTATAGGGTAGATTTTAGTAAACCTATAAAACTATAAGGGGTATTTTAGTAAATGACCCTTTATACTATTTAGCTTCCGCTTAATAAATCCCGTGCATCACACAGGTCCCTACTAGTAAGAAAATATAAAAACAAGATACTCAGTAAAAAATGGCCACAATGAGTGGGTATCATATCCAAAGCGGATCAAAGAAGAATTCACTCAAGCATTTCAAGAAAGATTTGAAGTAGGCAATACATAAATAATTAATGAATTCTTATAAGCATTGAATCCAATCATTACATTGCAAGAAGATGAGAAACTAGGGGTAGAAGTACAAGAAGATGAAAATATTGAAGCTATAAAATAGATTAGGGATTTTAAAGCCCTCGACCTTAATGGTCTAAATGTGAATTTCTATAAAAATAATTGGGAAGGTGTCTAAGAAATTGTTATAGAGGCAATAAATGCCTTATTCCATTATGTAAAAAATGACCAAAAAGTTGAACCAAACATTTATATCGCTTATCAAAAAAA